TTGCAATTTTATATAAAACCTGAAGGCCCAACCTGTTACAGATTCACGGATAAAAACCCACGACGATGACGAACTAATATGGGTTTCTGGCTCGACGTGATTTCCATTTTTAATAGTCTGGGACGTTAGAAACTTTTAGCCATTTAACCCGGCAAATGGACTATCTATGCCCACGTTCACCATGTGCCTCTCGGCGTGCAGTGATCAGTTCAGTTTATTTTATTGAGTAAAATAGGTTCGAGCCTTTGAGTACCTGGTTGTGACATAAAATGAAGTGCAGTATGTGGAGTAACCATACGGATTGTAAGACTTCAAATGGGACGGTAGTTTCAAGGGGGAAATGAAAGCCCTCATGGTTCCTACTCCTTTTCGAACATGTATCTGTTAAGGACTAGTTACTTACACATGAGATAATTTATGACAATAATATAGTTGCCTTGAATCTACCACACACGATTCTTCTGCTCTTCTGTGACCGGTTTGGGAACCATTAATACGAGTGTGGACGGAATAAGGCCCAATGGCTGACGAGGATAAACAGTTAGCCCACGCTTGTTACACACAATTTGGTTGTGCATAAGGGATTTCGCAAAACCAAGAAGACAGTGCAGTAATGCACAGTGATATCCGAATAAATAAGTCTTTGTTAACTTAAACCCACCGCTCTGGCATCAGCCCTTTTGATCTAAATTATAGTTTTCGAGCATTGCGTTAGAGAGTAATGAAACTGGATCTTTAGTGTTAATCATAGTCATTCGTTCCAAAGTCAGCAGTTCCAAGGTTTTGACGGACTTACCTTTCGAGTAGTCAATGCCATTCCTTTATCTTTGTCGCTGCTTACACACGAACAGTCACATTTCTGTGGGATACACGAGAACTGCTGCCCAGGGACGTACTAGTTCTTAACTTCATAGACTTAACCTGAAAATGCTGTTCCACGGGAAAAAAGCCATTTTTTCGATGTGAATAGTTTACGTCTTTATATGTTGTTGAGCAAAGAGATTCATCAACAGGATTTCGCACATCTGTTTTTTGCACAATGTTTCTTCATATCTTTTGGCAGCCAGATGCCTTGATTCATTGACAGACCGGCTAGGCTGTTTACTGAAACTATTCTTCCATGATGAAGAAATCGGAAGGTGGCCAAAAAGTCAGGTGAATAAAAATGTTGTCTCAGCGATCGAATCTTCTTCTCAATTAACCCCTGGGACTCGCATGTTCACCTGCATTGACACTATTCTTCCATATTTACTTCTTGAATACCTTTTAAGTTAAAGGACTTATGGTGCCGCTGTAAAGGTCCGAAAGCCTTGGAGAGAAGTTGTTACGGCAGAATAAGGGGTTTGGAGGAAAAAATTGCAGTTTATAGCCGTCTTCCATAACCACCACAATCAAACAAATTTTTTGGGAGTTTAAAATCAATAATCATAACTGAAACTTAATAAAATATAATTTTTTTCAGCTCCGAATGCTTATTCGATGCCGACACCCGATATCGTGAGTCAAAAACAAACGGCCCCCAAGTACACACTTGCAAGTCGGCTTGAAGGGCTGACTGCAGCCAAGGTCGGTTCAGGAGCTTGATAATTATTTTATTCATTTCTGTCAGTATGTATCAGTCAGTATATTTGGAGTAAATGACACAGGCCCTTAAAACAAAAATTGAAACATTACAGGAATAAAGTGTAGTGAAATAAGCAAAAAACTGTTACAGATCGCTTTTGTTATGCAAAAGGATATAGTAAATTTAGGAAACACGAATGGCTGGCAAGGTGAGGCGTTTGTGGAATAGTAGCGTGCGAAACGTTTACTATATAGCCGCTATTAAATATTCGTCTGGACCACCTTAAGTATAAATAAAAGTTGATTTCAATCAAGCGAGTAGTATGTTTTGAATTTGGTATTCCGTATACACAGTAATTTACCATAGCGTTGTTTCCGAACCATTATGAAGGTGGCGATCATAAATGGCATGAGGGCAGACAAAAAGTGCAGAAACAGGTCGTGTTAAAGGTACCTTTTATAAAACTCTTAAGTCCCTACTTCAGTGAAATAAGCGTTGAGGTAACTTGAAATAAAAACCACTTTATACTGCTTTTGAAGCACAACAACGAATAAAACCTTTAAATATGTTGTCCTTAAGACACCTAAGGCAACCCGGCCTTCTAATGCAAAGAGCCGCTTGTTCTCTTTAGGTATTACTGTTGTCGCAGCGTTCTATAAGTAAATTTATCCAGGGTTTAAGTTAAAAACCGTCTTACCAAATGTAAAAGATCAGAGATTTTATTTAAGGATATTGCAAAGAAAATGAGGCACACTTTAGTTCATTAGAGAAAAAATTGAATCCTTTTTGTTCTATAAATGCTTGACACAGAATCCTGGTCCGGCTGACTATACTGTTGGCTCTCCCGACTTGATTATGGATGCTGCCCCGAAGTACTCGATGGGTGCTCATCTTACTGGAATCAAACCCCATGTTACTCCTGGGCCTGATGCCTACAGATCAGAGGACGTAAGTACCACTCATTCACCAGGTGCTGCCGTAGTTTCATATTGAACTTAGTTAAATTAAACTAAAATTACACCAGCTACTTGGAAAGTCGGCATTACATACCTCTTTTCAAAAATTATTATCTGTATAAGTGTATCTTACATTTGCTCCCGAATATACAGAAAATATTATTATCAAAATCAGCCCTGTTTGAGAATGCAACGCCTGTTTTTCATCCTGAATTTAAAGAAAATTCAGTAGTTCTTGCGGTTTTCCTGTGAGGAAACCCTGAAGATTCGTTACATCCTGTTAAAATATCACCCCGTGCATTTGTCAGTCACTGTGATATGAACAGCTGGCTGCAACATAGGAGTAAAAATATGAAGGAAAGGAAATTTGATTTCTGCGGCTGGAGTCCACTACTTTTACAAACCTGCTTTGAATTACAGACTAGTCATTGCTGCTGATAGTAGCCGTGACAGACAGAGGAACAGAGTGCTGACTTTTGAAACCTAATACAAGGAATATATCCACCATTTAACTGACTATTAATACGCCAGCTTCCTCTTTTTGTTCCTCATAACTGTTTAGGCAGTGGTACCGGCAAAACTTTATTGATTATGTTGCAGTAAATTAGTCTTCATTTATTCCATTTGCCTTTTCAAAAAGTCCCCCCTTTTAAATATGATGAAGGTCAAAACTTATAATTACACATAGGAAATAGACATGTCGAAGAATACTTCTAGAAAAACTAGAAACCAATTGAAACATACTACGCCTTTGAACCGAAAACTCATTTTTTTTCACTTACTAGTGCAATCTCCACCTTCCAAGGCAACCAAAGTTCACTATGGGTATATATCACAGCCCATACAGAGGAGAATTCGACGCCAAATACTACGACGACAATTAGATGGAAAAGAAAGAGCCACCGTTCCGTTACTTTTTCCGTCTGCACGGAAATATGTTTTGCCTTTATTTTTTGGACGAAACACTGAGGTTTCTGAAAATGATCACAGTAAAAGCTCAAGCTGCTACTTTGTTTTCACTTTTAATTTATCAGGACGTTTTAGTGAGTACGAAGTGGCGAGTACGGAAAATCGTTTTAAGGGAGCTCGTTTACTGATTGTGTTACATAGTTTCTAAGCGTCACCTTTTATCATTAAGGTGAATATATACAAAGTAGGGAATAAGCTCATTACCTCGTGAAAGACGATCGAGATAGTACATAACTGTGAGAGCTTAATTCTGAGAGGATTTCTAACTATGGAAATGCTGTGGTAATAAGGACATAGAAAACTAAAGGTAACTGCTCTAAATCTACTTCTTGAGGTAACTAGTGTAAATTGTTGAAGGCGAATCAGCTAAAAGCCTGTGATTTGTGGTCAGTAAAGTCCCAGTTCCCTCCGTGCATATTCACAAGTTTTAGTACACCGGATTAGTTGATTAAAAGTTGAGCTAAAGGTCAAGATAATTTCCGAAAATGCCACTGCCTGTTGCAGGAAGCTGTTAATCTCCCATGAATATACATCCAAAAAAAGTGTGTTTAAGCTTATCGAAAATAATAAGATTAAATATTATACGTACCATTGGCCCAGTTCGGATAACCAAACTACGCGGGACTAGTATCCTACGCAATAAATATCTTTGGTTAGCGATAAGAGTTGTGAACCTAGAAGATGAGTTTATATTTTGGGATTTTGGTGTTGAACAGGCAAATAAATACTGGAACAAACTATTTTCTTCAGTTCTTGCTAAAAGCGTTGATGTATTTAAAATAAGACTTGATAAAACTTTACATAATGGTCATAAATTTGGTAGACACTAGCGATTAATATAATGTACACGTCTGCTCTGAACCATGCATGATTGGCCAGAATCTATCTGTAAATAGGGTTTTCAAAGGCTCTGCCTATCTCCCATATATATATTGAATTAAATTTAAGGTCCAGACGGCCCCATCATTACCTCTCGTATACCTCCAATCGGGCCTCATCAACAGATCGATCCTCAAAATTTGCATCGAGTGTTTTGCCGAATGAGCTACGAAGAAGAAGGCAACTTCTCAGTATAGACCGCATGAACAAAACCAATTGGCTCGGCCCCAAAACTGATCTATAGCTTGGAGTCGGAATGCAGCCGGAATGAAACTTTCTAGGCTCAGTTCGAAAGTTTAAATGAATAGTTGAGTCGATTTCGTCAGTTGCAGTGGAATAACCAGGGGCTATTCTTAACTGCGAACAGGTTTCAGTAGTCTTGCGTCATTTGCCATACTGATGGCACACCTCAGCTAAAAGTCAAGGAGCGTGCTTTGCTGATACTCTGACTCTGCATGATACACCTGCCAGAGGTTCCGAGCCTCAGAACGTTCCCTAGTGTCCATACTGCACCCATAAAGCTTTATTCCAACTATATATTTACAAGTTAGCTATTAATTGCTGGGGAGATAACAAGGCTTGAAGTAAAAATGGACTGCCGTATCTATCAGAAAACGCATGGGAAGGGGAGCGTTGATAATCCAAGCCTCTTGCAAGCTAGTTCAGAAGGCACTTGCGTCTTTTATTACTCAAACGCTAAACTTGAGGTATAGTAAGTTGATTTCAGATGGTAGGTTTGGGCATTATTCGCAGTTTTATTTCGAGAGCTACCGCAGTATCACCTCGGTTTTTTTATTAAACTTGTTCATGTGTTTTTACTGGATGCTGACCGATTTCGCTTTTAATTGTCTCGCCTCTCCTACAAATTCTTCCTTGTAGGAGTAGGAGGTAGGCTTCTTGTATTGATACAAACCTCCCTAATGAACCACGGTAAATTTTTCTATGACAGTAACCATATTCGGCGGAGGTTTCGGTTGAGGTTGCTGTTCACTGAGACCCCTTTCTTGGCCCACACTTTCCTTTTATAAGCTAATGACTGCATCAAGAGGTATTGCAAGGGGTGAGCTTAGAGAAGGACTTGGGAATGTGGACCAAGATCTCGCCTATACCTGAGATGGCAGTTCCATACCTTGTCAAACGGGCGTGCTCTGCCTTTGATTAAAACTGCGTCGCTAAAGTCTTTGGAACCCTTTTGCGGCCGCAACTGGAGTTGGCCCTTCAAGCTTGGAGTTCCTGGATTGCTAAGGGCCTTACTATCGCCA